AAAATTTTTTTTTAAAAAAATTCTGTTATAACTATCTTGTTTTAAACCAAATGCTGTATCCTTATGAATTCCATCATTATCTCAAACAAAAACGAGAAAAACAAAATTTTGAAATTAAAATTTTGGATTTTGGAGCGCTGGATTCACGGCCTAAAGGAGACAATTTCTTCAGGAACCGTGAGAACCCTACCGTTTAGGAGGCGGATACTGGAAACCTGCCTTGTGTTGTTTGTTCAGAAAAAACACAGCATTTAAAAAGAACAATTTTTAGCAATGACCTGTGGTTCAAGTAAAAAAAATTCGATTTTTTAAAATAAAATTTTGGAGTTTCGATTTGATTCAATTTTAAATTAATTGAGATCTAATATAATTAGTGACTATCGAAAAATAAATAAAACAGTTTTTGGTTTGTCTCAAATGTTGGTCGGAGAACATGAGACTCTTGGAAAACTCAAGTTCTTTTTTGTTTTTTGTTTCTTGTTTTGGTTTTTAAATTCATCAAACGGATAATTAAAAAACGCAGCAACTCATCTGGCTAAAACAAAGGCTAAAACAAAGAAGCTCATGCGCCTGATGGTAGCTTACAAAATTCTAAAATTCACACAACAATTGGCATCTCAATCAAATATCAATTTAATCGTGCCGCGAGACAAAGACTTGGATTAACTTCAAGATAAACAAGAAGAGTTGACTGCATAAATGGGGTGCGAAATGAGAAATTCTTTCTATGAAAAAATACTAAATGCTACTACAAACATTTTGGAGGAAAACTATTGTCCAAAATTTGATAGAACAATGGACTCTTCGTGAAAAAGGAAAGGAGTTTTCATTTTGACGAAGTTATACACACAATCTACAATACCCCAAAAAGGGGCTTACCTTTTGCATCTTTTCCCAACTCAGGTTTTGTTTGACTTCTAGCTCGGGGAAAGGAGGGAGATTCATTACTATTAATGAGACAATACCTATATTTCACCAGGTCATGAAGAGAATAATGCACTCTGTTCACGGCACTCCGAATTTGGACAGAGCTGATTGGAAAATGTCGGAGAAGGCTTGGGATGTACTTTGATCATCTGCTTTGATCTTCATTTGAGCTTTTGCCGATGATGAGTTGATTATACACTCCACAAGATAGTTTGATGGTTCTTCTGCTTTTTGTGCAAAGAAGAAAAACTTGAAGTTTGGTGATTGACCACCTGATGCTATGCACTGGATGGAATGGCCTTGCATGTGCCGAAGGAGAGCTTGAGGAGCTGTCAAAGCAGCAATGCCTTGAGGACTTAGAGAATACTCCTGCAACAAAGTGTGTTCTTTAGATGGGTGATAAAAAAATCTTTTGAACATCACATGCATGTGTGTGTCAAGCTAATGCTCAAGCAAACCTGTGATAAAGCAACTGGTAATTGGCGCCATTTTTGCTGAAATGTTGCTGGGTCCAGAACAGCTCTAGTGTGAAGCTTCAATTGAGGAGGTGGTGGAGGGGGTGCAGGTGCTGCTGGAATTCCTAGGCCAAGGAGATCATCAATTGCTAAGATCGCTTGTGTTGCCTGCCCTGGTAAGGTGGGATTTGAAATTGCTGGCTCCATAAGTGTTTGCGAGGCAGTGACTAATACAGATGAAGCATCGTACATAGGAGCACTATAAGCAGAATCATTGCCAGTAGATATTTTAGCTTCTTCCTTTTCTGAAGTACTTAGAAGCAGATCCTTGTCATTTGCCTCAACTCTCTGAGCTGAAACAACATTATCAGCTGATTCTCCGGCAATAGATAGATTTCCAAGTTCTTCTGAAAACTCAAACGGACCACGGTGTTCCTTATCAGTGAACATGTAAGATGGCTGCAAATATTCATGGAAATCATTTAACCTCAGTCTATAATGTAACAGTTCAATAGCATCATGGGAACTTGTGCAAGATATGGAAATGCTTGGAAAGGCATAAGCTATGCATCAAAGCTAAACAGGGCAAGCAGTTGCAGGGTAAATTTGTCATGGGCATGTTCCACAGATAAAGTGGGTAACTTCACAGATAAGTTGTGATAATCATGCAGATGGAACTGCTAGCTTGTTGAGAGGTAGATGTATGATTAATAGGAAATCAAGAATGGTAACTTACAAGATGGATGGTAGTTGGTAGGTTAGTCAAAATGGATAGGAACAAATTAGCAAAAATTGAGGTACTTCTAGAAGTACAGAATTAATCCCTGGAATCCCAAGAAGATTGGGAAATCTCTAAATTCCTTCATGTGCCACTCATTTTTCCTTTTAACTAAAAGGAGATTCTAAAATGATCTACGGTAATCATCAAAGCCACAATCACAAAGCTGGGTTGCATAAACCTGAAACCTGTAAAAGATGCAAGCCATATGTAGTTACCTTCTGGTATACAACAGACAGACTATTAAATTCATCAAATATGCGATCTTTTATTTCACTGCTCTGAGTATCAGCAAAAACTGAAACAGCTTGCTTTGGAGGGTTCACCACACGCTCCGCTACAGATACATTGTGTTGCAAAAGCCTATAGTAGAATAAGGCTCTATCATGAACATCCTGCAGTCAAATTTCAATTTATATTTTACGAACAAATAACCAAACAATTTAAACAAATACTAGTAGATAATTATTACCTAGGGGGAAGAAAGGATTACAAAAAGACCAACTGATACCTGGTGAAAGTCAGCAAGCCCTGCAGCCAATGCAGCTCCAAGTGCTTTCTGAGTCTCAGGTGGTCTCTTAAAGAAACACTTCATTACTGCAGTGAGAAGGTGCAATCGAACCTGTTCAATGACAAATCCATCAGCCCAGTAAATGAAGTAATTTCATAAAAACGACTAAAGGGTTGATGCTCAGAAATACAAGCAGGCTTAAAATTGTACAATAACAAAGTTATAAATTATGCTTCCCATAAAGCACTTAACAACACTTGCAAACTCTCTATAAAGTGCTAGTGCACTGCTGATAAGAATGACATGCTTAAGAATCCTTTCTCTTTGTCACTAAAGGAGTGGCTTGAGAATAGGAAGATTGCTTAATGTAGAATTACTGGAATATTTGTGCACGTAAAAAATTATAGCAACTGAAGCACTACACAAGGCAATAGCATAGAAGATAAGAGGCAGGCAATTACCTCAGCAGAATGCTCCTCATCCCAGCTTTCGATTAAACCCTCTAAAATATAAGGAGCATCTTGCATGTCCTGGGAATATTCTCCCAACATCCATATAAGAGCTGCCTTGGCCTTTGGTTCCTGCACATTTTTGCTGCTAATATTACCAACCACTGCAATGCAATCATGACTCCACTGCGGATATTTTCTCAGCAGATCTTTTACAAGCACCTGCAAAGAAGAAATTGCAGTCATTCAATCTAGCTAGCAGTAGTCAAACAATTTGTTATTGATTTAATGTTAATAAACCTTCTCCCATAAAGATGGTAACAGATGCATCTAGTTCTCCTGTCAAGTTTCAAGCAGGAACAAATATATTTATTTACCAGAGCTTCAGCAGTCACGTAGTCCTTTTCCATCTCAAGAAACTGAAGAAGTCTATCAACAATGGCATTCACATCGTACTGCTGTAGTGCTATTTTGCCAACGGCTCGGATGGATTCTCTTGCAATGGGAATATCAACATTTGCAGCATATTCACATAATTCAGTGACTGAAATTTGACCAATAAGATTAAATAATAGTCACATTCCAAACTCATTTTGGCCATTTCAGAGTCAGAGAAAATATAAAAATCCAACTGAGATAATCCTTGATTACCAATTTCATAAGTATTGCTCTCATTTGCCACAGCAGTCAACATTTCAAGCTTCAACTTTTTGACATAAGAAGGCTCATTGTACTGGCAATAAAAATGCTTGTAGTCTGAGGAAAATATAAAAGGTGCACGCATCACCAGGAGATGGAGGTGACTTAAAACTGCATAAGATTGCTCCGGACTTCCTGAACTCACTAGAGTCAGCAGTGGGGCTTTGATACGTTCATAAACCTAACAAAGAATTTTGACAACTGAAATTTACACTTTAAAAAAAAAAAAAAAATGATATAAGACAGAACACTTTAATCCTAGATTTTTCCAAAGTTGTTTAAGACCAAGGCCAAGTACCATAATTCAAGGTAGAAAAGACATGCCACTTTTCTAGAAAAGGGAATTACTTCTCCCTAGTAGCTTTATATAGCACCAGGCCTTTTCAAATTCAAGTGGGCAGATATACAAGCCTTCAATGACTGATGAACTACAACTTAACCCATCAAACTTAAATGGGTGCTCAGCAAAATAAATAAATAAATGCCTGTCTCCACCACTAACGAAATAAGCACTGATTATGAGATCAAAAGTTGCACAAACAAGGTCACCTTAATGATTATGCATGGAAAGGAATTTGCTAGTGCAGTGCAGAAACTAGAAAGAAAAACTGAACTACACAATTTATCAATTTTAACTTAAAATATAGAATGTAGAAATTTTTTTGATAAGAACCTGCTGATGGACATCAGTCATGGACAAGGTCAAGTGTAGGAACACTTTGATGGTGGCCAAGACAACAGCACCATTTGCATGCTGAAGTCTATCCTCAAGGAGATTCATGATATCAAATATATCATTGTTGTCAGACGGTACATATTTAGCCGCCAACTCAAGCACAAGACATTGTGCCCATTCATTAAATTCTCGGATTCTGGAAACAGAAAAAGTTGCAAACATTTTAAGCACTACAAGATTCAAGCACATGTTTGTAGTTATCAGTTGTACAGAAGGAACGCACTTACAAGGTAATATAACGGAAGTTCAGAATAGAAATTAGAGACTGAAAATTCAACACAAGAATGCTATCATGTGAAGAATTTTTGTTTAACTAAAAAAAAAAATCACTGACTAAAAAAAGAAACTACTAAAGCAATCAACTTAAATTTGGAAAAGATCAAACAATATTGAATCACTTTAATCAATGATTCCAATTGAAGATCAATCTTTCATTTTTTTGGTGCACAAAGATAAGCTACTGATTCCAGCCAGAGCACTTACTTGTTCAATAGGAAATATACAATTGGCTTGCTTAACAAACCTTCTCTCTCCCTCGATGCTTCCTCTGAGGTGCTTGCTTCTGCACTCCAAATCTCTTGCAAAGCAGATAAACAGTTTGCAACTACCTAATGTAACAATATCTGATTAATTACTGAGAAATTCTGTGAATCATTCCAAGAATAGAGCTTTGCTCACCTGAGTGTCAGAGTCAGTGATCATTAAATTCTTCAATATCACCGGAAAATCAGCATCGATACAAGTTGAGGCTGATATATGGTACAACTTCAAAACTCCAATCACAGCCACCATCCTCACATAACTATTACTGTCCTTTAATCCTAATCCCAGAGGCCCCACCAAGTACTCCACTAGATTTGCCACTCGCAGTGAACATAAGCTCCTCAAGGCCAGCCCTCGGATCATGGGATCCTGATCTTGGCAATCCTTCTGGAGGAAATTGATGGTCAAGAGCGCGAGATCAGGATTCACCTTGGCATAATTTCCGACGTAAAGATAGCACATTTTCTTCAAAACGATATCGGATGTAGCAGAGCACATCACCATCTCGCCGAACAGAGCCGAGACATCGATGCCGATCGTCATGTAAGAGATGACCTTCTTGAAGAGATCTCGCTTTGAGTCATCCACGCCAGGCGCTCTGCTGCCGGCGAGCTGCCGGAGCTGGGATTTCAAATCTGAGACCTCGCTTTTACTGAAAAACAGAGATTCTAATTGGAGTCTACATAAGCCGTAGACAGAATTGTACTTCATCGAAGAATAGCAGATGACTTACCCGGAAGGCTGAGACGGCGACGGTGACCGCTGGGACTGAGCCGGAGGAGCCATGGTCGAGGCGCAGTGAGAGAAAACGTTTACCGACCAAAGCACGAGAGATCTACCGCAGGCGCAAGGATGAGGGATGGCTGTGAAATCAGAACGGACTTGACGGGTGATGATAGTGTCAGAAGGCCCGGCCTAAAATATATAAATGGATATTTTGGTCACTAGCAGGCCCATTGTAGTGGGCTTATTCTCTTGCTCCGCCAGTCCGCCTCCTGAGTCCTGACCCAACCAAGTCTCTCGACGTAGACACGGTGGTGCATTTCCCTTTTTTTTTTTTTTTTAAATGGTGATGCATTTCCCTTTGGGACAAAGCATTTGTAATAATACCCTGATGAGGTCTGAGTCGTCTTGGGATGTTTTAGATAATTAAAAATTTTAAATTTTAAATTAATCATTTTAAATTTTAATCTTAAAATGAATGGAAAATATTAAATAAAAAAGTATCATAATTTATTATTTAATATATCAAAAACAAAACATATACAATATGTATTACACAAGAATGGTTTATATATATATAATTTAAATTGTACCAAAAAAAAATACAATTGAAGTTATAAAAATATCTTAATATTTTTAATAAATAAAAAATTAAAAAATATTTAAATATTCTGACAACCGGACTCAATTCAACACGACATTTCCACTTATCTAAAAGAAAATGTAATTGCTCCACACACCTCCCTCTCACAGACTACCCGCTCCGACCAACAGATGTTTGCATTCGCCCCAAGGGCTCTTCTACCGTACATTTTGTTTTTAGTGGCTTAGCATGGTTGATATTGTCCTCCAAGCAAAGCAATCAAATAGAACGACCCGTGGCATGGAAACTATGAAAACGTGTAAAATGGAATCCATTGAAATGAAAAACAATTCAACATTTCAAACAAAATCCACTTGCAGTGTATAACATGCAATATATTCATAACATTTTCTTACAGCAAACATCAAATAGATTGTTGCAGAATGTTACAGAATATTTATATTATAATTATATTGATTAAGTTCACATTATAATTTATTGATATAACTAGGTTAATTGATTTTATATCATAGAATAATTTTTTGTATAGGTATGTAAATAAATATCTTGTATATTCAGTGAAATTAAGAAAGAAAGAGTTTCTTTTTTCATATATTTTTATATTTTTCTTCTCTTTATTTTTTCTATTATGGTATCAGAACCTTGAGACTTTTTTTACTATTACTATTCATCTCTTTTGTGAGTTGCTGCTTTGCTTGTTGGTGGTGCCGATCATCATCATCTTTGCTTTCTTTCTTAGACTTATTTGCAATTGGGTTTTCTTGATCCTGCTCCTTTGTTGCACCGGCAAATACGTGTTACTCCCACAACCAGCGTTGCTCCAACCTTCTTGCATCCAATTGTTGCTGATTTTGCTCTTGATTTCTCACAATTGAACTTTCAACATTATTGTTGCCCAGATCTGATATTGCCTCTTTTTCCTCTAGCGACATTGACTGCATCGATCTACATATTCAGTATGCAGATCTTTTCACCAAAAACTCACTCTCTTGGACACTTCTGCACTCTTTTTTCCAAATTCAAGCTGATCTCCTCATCACCACTTTGAGTTTAAGGGTAGATGTTACAGAATATTCATATTATAATTATGTTGATTGGGTTCACATTATAATTGGTTGATATAATTAGGTTAATAATTTTGTACCATAAAATATTATTTTATACAGATATATAAATAAGCACATTATATATTCAGTGAAATTAAGAAAGAAAGAGTTTCTTTCTTCATATATCTTTATAGTTTTCTTCTCTTTATTTTTTCTATCATGGTATCAGAGCCTTGAGACTTTTTTTTACTATTCCTATTCATCTCCTTTGTGAGTTACTACTTTGCTTGTAGGTGGTGCTGATCATCATCATCTTTGCTTTCTTTCTTGGACTTATTTGCAATTGGGTTTTCTTGATCCTGCTCCTTTGTTGCGCTGGCAAATACGTGTTACTCCCACAACCAACGTTGCTCCAGCCTTCTCGCACCCAATTGCTGATGATTTTACTCTTGATTTCTCGCAATTGAACTTGCGACATTGTTGTTGCCCAAATCTGATATTACCTCTTTCTCTTCCAACGACATTGACTGCATCGATCTACATATTTAGTATGTAGATCTTTTCACAAAAAACTCACTTTCTTGGACACTTTTGCACTCTTTTTTCCAAATTCAAGTTGATCTCCTTATCACCACTTTGAGTTTGAGCTTGGATGTTACAGAATATTTATATTATAATTATATTGATTGCATTTACATTATAATTGATTGATATAATTAGATTAATTGATTTTGTACCATAAAATATTTTCTTGTACATATATATAAATAAGCATCTTGTATATTCAGTGAAATTAAGAAAGAAAGAGTTTCTTCCTATTTTTCTTCTCTTTATTTTTTCTATCACAGAAGATAAGGAATTAGAGAGCAAAGATGGAAAACCACCTTAACAACATATGACGGACTTAATATCTGGGAAACACTGAATATATACTATACTTTTATAAGATTGACAAGCCAAAAAGGAGTAAACAGAAAGAAATTATCCTTGCGTTACAGAGGAATCCAGAAGTAAACTTGAGAATAGGATATTCCTAGCTCTAAACAGTAAACAATAATACAGAACTTCTTGTCTCAAGGATGTAAGGAAAATGAGCTTAGTATTGCTCGTCTAAACATCAAGGGGCGGAAGCTGCTGCATGCTTCCTCGGAGTTGCTTGTGCACCTGAGAGCAATGGAAGAGTATCCCATCATCATCCAATGGGAATGCAAATAAACATGATATTGATTCACAGGGAGAATAAAAGAACCATTTCTCCGTTGTTGGTGCAGAAAACCCTGGAGACGATGAAACTTTTGACGAAGAAGAAATACCGGATTTCTTTCGGATGTCCAATGGACTGGAGAAAGCCCATAGACGTGGCCTTATTGGGCCGAAGCTCTTAGAAGCGTGAAGCCTTAATTATGTAGGATTTGCAGAGGGGTAACCAAACCTTTTGATATATATATATATATATATATATATATATGGAATAGCAAATTTCATTGAATTTAATGTTGATGCTTCCTTCTCTGCACTCTTTTTTTTTTTTTTTTTTTTTTTGTATGCTTGGATAAAAATTAGAAAAGAAAGAAGGAAAACAAAAGGATTAATATTAATTTTGTTTTAATAAATAGAAGTGAAAGAGAGGGGATAATATTTTTTTAATTAAATGATTTAAAAAAATATATAATATAATATAATAAACCTTTAATTTTATTAATTAAATAAATACTTAAAAACTATTTACGTATATTTATTTTTTAAAAATTTTAAATAAACATATTACATCTGTCATTATTTTCTCGTATTAAAATAATAAAAATTAAAGTGAAAGGTTTCATAACTTTCTATCTCCCTCCTTTTCCATTAATAAATAAAATAATTCCAATGACATAAAAAGTTCATCTCTCTCCCACTCTTCTTCTTTTCTTTGAATCTTTTAATTTTAACTCACTATTTAAGAGAATTACGTACTTATGCTTAAACATACACATATAAAAATGTAAATTATTAATACCTAACATAAGATCTAAGTCGTTCCTTTTGAGACTTTGGTGGTGCATTTAGTCATCCATTGGCTTTGTGCGGTTCCGAACAAACCCCACCAAGCACTACTGCCTCAAAAAATAAGTAGCCAACTCTTCCATGTAATTATGTTTTGTCAACATATATGTCAGTACATACGCCCTTGTACAAATGCATGAATAATTTGGCTCCTTTACTCTGCTAGAAGGGTCGAATAATCATAGGTTCGGCACAAGGGGATGTGAGGAAAATAGAGTAGTCAAGAACAGGGATATAGGAGTGTTCGTCCAAGTTAATCCTACCAATATCTACCTAAATTTCAGTGAGCACATGCTAATTAGGTTCCATTATTAAAGCTGTTTCAATCTTATCAATTAAGGGAAAAAAAGAAAAAAAGTTAGCACGCCCAATCCTATCTCTAACACTTGTCATTGAAATCAAAATGATAATTTCGCTTCACGTTGACAAGGGAGTTGGATGACTAAAGATACAATGGTTTAACTCACATAGTTTGAAGAGATAGGAGCGAAGGAGAAGACCTTTAATTTTCTTTATGATTTTAGCATAAAAAATGAGGAAAGGAGAAGAGAGAAGAGGGGAGGGAAGCAGAGAGAGAGGAAAGAATATTGTTTTTCATCTTCTTCTCTTTGTATCTTTCAAACTAAGTACGTGATATTGTATAACTCATTTAAAAAAGATAATTTTTTTTTTTAATAATTCAACCTGTGTCTTTATTTTAGTAAAATTTATTATCATTTTCCCCAATAATGAGATTAGAAACAATTTTGGACATATTTTTTTTTCTGGGTTTAAATTAAATTGAAGAATTATATAAAATTCAACTTTTTTTTGAGAATGACAGACAAGTTGCTTGATGCTACATGTCTTACTATGGTAGGAAAGCTTTTGGTTACTTTAGTTAAAAGAGATCTTAAGGATATCACATCTGCCTGCCCATTTCAAGCTACCCACATATATGCCAAAAGAAAGGATCACTAGTTGCATCATTAGCTCAATTAACTCAGCAAACGCTCCTTTTCATAGAGCGTGATAAAGTTCATAATTACTTTGTGCAATGATTTTGCTAAAATTAATGGACCAAATACTCCACCTTTTTCTATTACCTTTCATTTGTGTATCTAAAAATTCCATTGAAACTAATGGAATTGTCAATCCGTGAGGAGATTCAAACCTGAAAGATTCTTCCAATTTTTGAAAGAAAATATTCAACTTATGATGGAAAAAGAGGTGATCCAAACACCTAGTACTTGGAACGAAATCACTTTGATAGCGAAATCGCCTCAAGAACAAAACAGAGTACATGATTTAGCCCACAAGCAATGTTTGATACGAAGCATTAACACTCTGCAGAAGTTATGAAACGATGGATTTCATTACAAAACTTTCCTCTCCTTGTCATCACCTCTCCAAACAAAACCCAAAAAAGAGAAATGGAAAAAAAATTTAAGAAAACCTAATTCAGGAAGAAGAGAATTGAACCATACAATCAGATTGTTATAGCCTCATCATGATTTGATCTACCCCCAAAATTCACGAAAATTTAGGTAAAAAACAAACTGCTACCAAACTATGCACCCTCCCTTTTTTTCACCCCAAAAGTTTTTCCTTTCCTAATCAGAGAAAATTAGGTATTGTACAAGATGTAAAGATAGGCTCTAGCATGAGATCCCCCAAGAACACCAAACCCTTCCTCACCCTCTTCACCATTACCTGGCTTCTTTGATTCATTCTTCTTTGTACTCTCTCGTCCTTTCCCAAGTCTTCTTTTCTCCTTTCTTCTTTCCCACTGGAGGAGCTAGCAATGAAATTGGTGCCCCCAATTGCGCCAATTGGGTCTTGTGTCTTGACTGGTCAGAATTCTCTTATGCAATTCAATCTAATTTTCTTGTTTTTTTTTTTTCTTCTCTTGCAAAACTCTGCTTCTCTTAGGATAAAAAAAAAAAATTGTTAATGATCATGGTGATATTGATTGTGGCAAGAGTGAACAGGCATAAGGAGAGCGGTGTTTTGTTTTTGTTTTTTTTTTTTTTTTTGTATTAATCTCTTGGCATTCGATAATCAATCACATTGGATTTTGATTAATTTAAGATTGAATCGTGTCAAACCTCAAAATGGGAGAAACTTTATCAGCATCTGTTTCTCCATTCATAAGACTTAAAATCGAGACTTTATTTAAGAGAAACCAAATTCTTTCCACTTCAACCAACAGATCGTTGATGTTTTGCCTCTCATTCCAACACCCTTCAATGTCTTCTGCGATCCTCTTTGCATCAATGGATGTACCAAGCAGGCCACGTTTGGTGAACCCCACCGCATATAGCCCACATTCGCCTTTCCATCCATTTGGGAATGGCCTTCGAGGAAATCCATCTTTCTTAGAAAACATCTCGTTTTCCTGACCATTTAAATAGTAACTCAATATTATTATCATCATAATCATCCTTCCCTCTTTTCTCCTAACTTGGTATATAAAAATTTTAAAATATCCTAAAGAAGAATAAAAGATAAAAAGATCATGATACCTTTAGCCAACGTGGTACATTACTTTTGTACCCAGTTGCAAAAATGATAGCATCAAAACTCTCCGTTTTGCCATTGACAAACTCAACAACATGTCGTTTTAAATGTTTGATAGCGGAACAAACCTATAAAGGTAAAAAATTCAGAGAAATTATGATTAAATCCACATTCAGTAGGCCAAAGAGGGGGAAAAGTGATGTGATTGAGAAAAATAAAAGGTAATTAGGAAAGGGTACCTTAATGTCTCCACTTTTAATTTTGGCCAGAGTACCAACATCTAGCACTGGGGTCTTCCCGGACCGGTTTTTGAGCTCAAGGGGACCCAATTGAGGCCGGTCCAATCCGAACCGAGCCGTATCACCTAGCATGAACCAAGACACTAGGAGTAGGAAGCGGTCGACAAGGCGCATGGGCAGCCACTTTAGTAGCCACATGGACAGCCCAAAAGTTGATTTTCCCAGCATCTCTCGTGGTAGGACGTGTACCTTAATTTTTTTAACCCACATCAGAAAACCAGAAAGCTACACCCAAATGGCCAAAAATTAAATAGGAAAAAAAAAAAAAAAAAGAAGACACAAAAACAAAAAGACAAAGAGGTCAATGTAAGGGGGAAAAATGAAATGGGCAGATTGATGATTAAGACCATATATACAATCCTGAGTTTCTGACCTTGGAATCTCAAGAAAGTGAAAGATCAATAATGTTCCCTTTTATGTTTTTTTTTTCTTTTCTCCCTAAAATGAGTGATTTTAAAATTCTATGATGAAAACTGTTAGACAATTAAAGTGACAAACTTCTAGTAATAGTTTACATGTTTTAAAAAACACTATTCAATCACGCGAATCAAAATATATAGACAATACCAAACATTGATTCATTAAACTTTTGAAAATTTATGTATTTTGTAAGTAAGAATAGTTAATTCCTAAATATTACTGTTTATTACTAAATTAATATTAAAGAACAAAACAAAAAGACACTTATAGAGGGATGGTTCAAAATGTGTCATTATCTATATAAAAACTTCACAACAAAAACTATTAGACGAATGGAAGACTCCAAATGTGGGCCAGTCTGCATCAAGGGAATTCAATGGAATTTGACGAAAGAAAATAATGTGACAGTGATGGTGTGATACCAGAACTCGTTCAATAAGGATTCTAAAATAAGAGGATTTTTTTTTTTTTTTTTGGGGAAAGAAAAGGAAGACAGAATCCAAGTTTAATGAAGAGAAGAATTCTTACTGTTTCTCTAACCACAATTGAAGGCTTAGCATTATGATTGTAGAGATCCAAACACACCTCCATTCCTGAATTCCCACACCCCACTACCAATACCTTTTTTCCTCTAAACTCCTCCCCACTTTTATAAAAACTTGTGTGCCTTATGTCCCCACCAAACTCTTTCATTCCCTCAATCTCCGGTTCCACCGCCTCCGCATTCTCCCCCGTTGCCACCACCAGCCACCGGCACACATACTCCATCTCCTCCCCTTTCGCTCCCACACTCCTCACGCGCCAAAATCCCAGCGTTGCGTCATACTCCGCCTGCTCCACCGTCTCATTGAACCGTGGCTTAATGTCAAAATTCTCCGCATAGTCAACCAAGTAGTCTATGAACTGTTGCTTGGTCGGATACGTGGGGAAGCCTGCGGGGAAGCCCATCAAGGGCAGCTCGCAGAACTGCTTAGGTAAGTGAAGTCGGAGACGATCATAAGTCTTCAACTGCCACAAAGACGCTATGCAATTAGATCTTTCTAGAACCACACTTGGCACACCCTTCTGCTTCAGACAAGCTGCCGCCGCCAGCCCCGACGGTCCTGCCCCTACTATTACCGGTCCGGCAACACACGGGCAGCGCGATGACGACTTGGTCATCATTTTTTCCATAAAAATAGGATCATGAGCTAGTTTGCCTTGTATCTCTCTCAAGCAATGATGCTCCATCAGGCACAGAGTTGAGTTAGCTAAACGTAGTTATACTAAACTAAAAAATGGAAAAATCAATAGGACCGGTTGGTTAAAACGTAAAAAATTGAGGGGTTATATATATAAAGAGAGAAATTAGATGTTTGAAGGAAATTTTATGAGGAGGAACAACACATTCAAGGAGACGAAGAAGAAAATAGAGAGATGGTGATATGTGTGTGGGGATCTATATATATATATAAGTGCTAAGAGAGATATATACAAGGCAAACTAGGTCATGATCCTACGTTAGCTAAAACATAGTTTTGGTAAACTAAAAAATGGAAAAACCAATGGGACCATTTTGATTAAAACATAAAAAATTGAGGGGTTATATATATAAAGAGAGAAATTAGATGTTTGAAGGAAATTTTATGAGGAACAACACATTCGAGGAGAGAAAGAGCAAAACAGAGAGATAGTAATATGTGTTTAGGGATGGATATATATATATATATATATAT